GAAGATAACTGGGTTTCGATCATCTTCTCGAGATGGTGAGACCTTAATTTCGTATGAAAGTGCATCAAGAAATGATTAGTATATTTATCTCACTAGAAGACGATGGCTGAATTCCGATGTAGTTCAGCCATTTTATTTTCATACGATGTTAGGGTTGACTTAGTCCACGTAAACATCATCAGAGCTAGAACTCATTTTTGTAAAAGTCTCACGTTAACACTAGATCAAGCTCTGATGATCTTCATCATATAATGGACGAAAGTTCAGTCAGCTTTCTCCCAAACTAAGGAAGGATGTCTCGTGAACTGCGTCAACCTGAACGTCGTATTAAAGCCAAACGGCTGCAGTACAGCGGGATTCAGCCATCGTCTTCTGGTGCGATTGACCTCCGAATCTCTTAATGCACTTTCATATGAAATGAAGGTCTCCACAACAATACTATTAAGGTGTCATATTATCCTTCTTCGATGTATTCCTATCAACTTATTCCTCATATGTCTAATTTTTATTTATCCTCTTAGGGTCTTTTATGCACCTTTATTTCCACATTAAATGATCAGAAAGACGAGATATACTTATATTCAATAGCCTATGTATTTTTACCTAAGCTTGCTATTATCTCTTTGCTATTATGCTTTTCTGTCTATCAATCGAAACTCAAAACTACGACTACTGATTTATGCTTTTTGACAAGGTTTTTACATCTTATTTTTTCTAAATACTTCTTGTGTATTCTTGTTTTTATATTCTGCCTATTTTATTCCTATCTTTCTTCTCAGACACACCTTGCTCCAAAGGCGCGTTGGCCGAGTGGTTCAGCACGTCTCCACGCCTTCGTAACACTTTTCGCTCTATGATGAAAAAAGACTTTCTACATGGCCGGCATGCACATTCAGATTACCCTTTCTTTTCTTCATCCTCTTCCTCTTCTTCCTCGTCTTCTTCCTCCTTACATTCTTGCGTCACAAAAAGCGCTCCTTCATTTGCTTCTAATTTCGCTTCAGACTGCTCAAATCTCAATCTAGCAAATGGTGGCCTATGTTCTGATAATGTCGATATTACCACCAAAAGTTTTGACTCAGGCTTTGGCCACAACAGTTTACAAAGAGAGGCGAACAACGGAAGTATTTTTTATTTCGCCTCATCTAATCACGATGCAAAACTGATCTCTGATATTAACGCTACTTCTACAGTATCCAACACAAACGAAATATCTATCCCTGGTCCAACTTCTATCCTGCATACAAACTCGGTACTAACTAGAGCTGTGTATAGACGTGATCAAGAGGCAAACAATGAGGATAGGAATGTTGGAAAAGTGAGCATTGTAATTCTGACATTCTTTCTTGACGGATTCACTTTTGAAGCTCTTACCGATACTCATTTATACACTTATTTGAAGTCTCTGAATGGTGATTTCATTTTGTGTTTAGTCTTTTAACATTATTATAACCTTCCCTGCTCATGATTATACAATAAATGAATGCTCTCTATTTTTCGTAGATATGAAGACCAAGATGGTGTGGCCTTCAGTTTGTTCGCAGTCGCTCCATATTTTTATTTAAATCTGACCTTTACCAATCTTTTATGTTATGTAATACTCCCCTCTATCATCGATTTGAAAGAGAATATTATTTCGCATTCATCTGTAAAACATTGTATAAAAAGTTGATGAATATCCTCACCGGTGTACATGGAATTGCTTGAAGCTACCTAATCAGACCTGATTATTTATTTTCTTTTATATAATTTCCTTATAAACTGCATAATAAGCCCATTTTTTACTTTTTAACTTGATTTTGCCTGTTTTTAACTGTTTATTTGGCATAGGCTTTGGGAAAGTTGACACCAAGTTCATCCAGGTGTATTCATGTCAACACCAGTAACTCCTTCAAAGACAGCTTTGTTTCTCCTGCACTACCTTTTACAACTTCTTCCTCTCCTTCCTCCTCAGTGGTGGTAGCTGCTAAGAAGCTTGCCTCCACGCATCCCGTTAGCCCATTGCACCATGCTGCTCTACTTCGACGACACGCTGCTGCGACCGAGGCTGCATTTGTCGCGTCCATGAAACTGACCACAGAAGACAGTCACCGCCTTTCCTCTTCACGTCCTCTAAGTATTTTACCCTCTACTCTTCAATCGTTCTCCGACTTCTCCCTTCCGCTCACTGTTTCTCTCTCCCTCTCCTTATCTTTGCCAGGACCACGTGCTCGTCGACAAGTCTCTCCACCCTGTCTCCTAAACTCTTCCTCTGCCTCCTCTGTAGCAATACCTGCCAAACAGCCTGACCTGACCTCGCCTATTGCTACTTCATCCTCCGCAACATCAGTCCTTAATGGTAAGGAAAGTCTATGCTGCTGCCAATGTCGTACTTCTTCTGGTCTTGACCTGCAACTTACTTGTGCACATTCAGCACCATCTGATCTGCGTACCCAACTTCGAGGTATACAGTCCCCAAGCCGCTTGCACGGGGCTGTACGGCTCATTCGACGCTCTCGGCAAATAGTTTCTTCAGTCGGCCGAAACGCACCTCGACGGCCATCAAGACGGGATACCAAGATGGGGAACTATCTTACGACTCTCAACATGAGTCCAGCTGTCCTCCGTGTTGGCGGGAATTCGGCGATGAATACAATAACCGATACGACAAATCAAACGCATCAAGTAAGCCCCACCTCATAATGGTTTTTTAGCCACCCTCAATGTCCATTTCCCCTTCAATCCACATTGATCGTGATTCATCTCCTTATTGGCATTTTATACCTCATCTCTTGATTCACCAACTACGAGACAAAGTTGGAAGCTCATTTATCCTATTTATTTACAAGTTAAGGCCATAAACACATGATTTCATCAGAAGAGATCAAGCATTATGATCTTCTTACCTTGTGACTACCAGAGGCTTGTGGAGGATTCATAATTCTGCAAAGTTAAACGTATTGTGTCCTATGAAGTTTTATTATTTATGGCTAAATGAAGTTGCAATGGCCAGGTCCCACCAGCTCTCTCAGTAGGCCATTTTATATGGATCTTTTTACATTTTTACTTATGTTATTTAGCCTTAGCTATCTTACCCACCTTATAATTATCAATTTTGAATATTATTAAGGATTTTATACATATCTTTATCTTTAATTATGCTATATAAATCTTACATCTGATCATTGTGGTCAATTGATAATGTTTTACTTTTTGGTAGTGAAAAATCTAAGCCCTCATTCTTAAGTATTCTCAGCTTTGCTGCCAATTCGTTGAACACTCAAATGACGCGAATTTCATAGCTTCACTTATCAACTGCCACTGATACTATTATCGCTCTAAAACATCTTACTTTTGCTTTTAAACATTTACTCTCGAAATTTACCTAAAGAACCGGCTTCATTTATCCTCGACATCATCGACAAGAAGTCGACGTCGTCTGGCAAGTTCTGGGCTGTCTCGTGCTTCCGGTTTAAGCCAGTGTAAACGACTGGTAAATACAAACAAACGAATTCTTGGATCGCAGGATCGGTCCTAGTGTATATGCGCCTCTTATCTCTTGAAATATGATGTTGATATTTTAGGCTATAGCACTTCCTAGCAATACTAATCACAATTTATTTGTAATTTACTATCTTTACATGCTTGCACTTACTAATGCAGAATCTTTCATTCACTCCCATGTTCATATATATATATATATATATATATATATATAT